CTGGTCGGACTTCCTCAAAGCCATATTCTACATCGGTAAGGGCAGTCGTTCCAGACCTTTCGATCATCTCTATGATGCTCTCGCAATAATGAGGGATGGTTCGGTCAACACCAATACAAAAATCAAACGCATTCTCGATATATGGAACAGCGATCACGGCGTGATCTGTTTGCAAGTTTTTCAAAATATTATTCCCGTGGAGGCTTACACGAGAGAGGCTGCGATGATAGATGCGATAGGACTAGAGCATTTAGAGAACTCCATAGTCGGGGATTACTATGGCATGGTGGCGACGTGGAGCATGCAGCAGAAGCAGGAATTTGGTAGATACCTATTGTACAAGGCTTCAGAAATTTTTAAGCACGAGGGAGAGAGGCAGATTTTCTTTTACCACTTGAGACAGATAGATAAGTAATATAATAACTAAGGGAAGTAATATAATAACAAATCAGTTTTTAATATATCGCGTCAGACTTTATATAGATATAAATATATTATATATTAATTTTTTTTATAGTACAAACAGCCAAATGTGACGATTATAGTATTTCTATAAATTAAAATTCACAGAATATAATATATGATTACGTGTGCAATTTGATAAAATTAAATTTATAGAAATAAATATATGTAAAAAAATATTTTTAACGGAAAAAAAATGTTCAGTGCAGGATCATTGTTTCGAGATTGAGAAAATTAAGAAAAAAATAGGATATATCTATCTAATATTGTAACGCAACCGTGAATACATATACATTTAATTTATAGCATAAAAGTGTGGTGTTGACAATGTATTTAAGCTCTGTAAAAGAAATGTACTATGTAGGCAGCCTATTTATACAGACAGATATTAACAATTGTCTTTGTACATTTATTAATACACGTTTCGTAGAATACAACTGCATGTGTAAGATGAATTAAATATAGTACTTTTTCGCCGAGAGAGAGCCCTTTGGATCCATCCCTCTTCGAATATTACAAGTACGACCTGTCGGGTTTCGTGTCCTTCGCCCTCTTGTCTCTGCTCCTGGGGTACCACCTGTGCTTGGTGGTGTATGTGACTTTCGCCAGCTCCTCGACGACCTGGTACGGCTTCTTCTTCCTGAAAACGTCCGCGACGTCTCTGTCGCCGATGCACAGCACAGACGTGTTCTCGGGCTTCTCCTCGGGCAGCGGTTGGGAGCACTCGTACGGGAACGGCTGCTCCGGATGCCAGCAGACGACCATGCGATCGTCCTCCGTGAATATCACCGCTTCCGTGGGTAGGGTACTGTATTTGGCGTGTCTCACGGAGCGGACGCAAGCACGGATCATGCGTAGCACAGGATTCATCTGCCGTGACAAATCGCGATTTAATAACACAACATTAAATTTCTCACTTACTTAGTTTAACTCGTCAACAAATATATGATTAGCACATCGCGCATCATAATCTTTTACAAACAAATTCCGATCGTTACAATGATTCACATTTCGTACCTCGTAGTGCTTTAGTTTCACGTTTCAGTTTTATATTTTCATGGAAGTTTTTTTGTTTTTTTGTTTTTTGGAGAAAAGACGAATAAATCCGATATAAACGTCTAATTTTAACCTCTTCGTCGAATCACTAGGTTAAAATTCCAGGCGTGTTCTGTTCACTATTCGAGCTGCTTTTAAGAGTGGAAACTGGTTATTTGATTGGCTACTCCACTATTCCTTTCAAGCTTCCCATATCCATCTCGCAATCCTCGAACACCGCTTTGGAATAGAGTCGGACGTTTGTCCAGGTAGAGAGAAGCGTGAGGAGCGGCCACGCCGGCTTTTTGGGTGGGACCGGCGATCTCCCCCGGACACTAGCGCCCCACGTCCACGTTCTCAAAAAAGAAACTACGTACCACGTCTATCGTTATACTTATAATATTGTCGATCAAATCATTATAGCAGCACGAGAACGTGGACGTGGTCGTGCTAATTGTGCTACGTGCACAAATTGTGAATAAATAGATCACGTTTATTTTGCGATGCTGCTGATGAAATGACATTCCAATTCATGTTTGTACTACATCCACAAATTGTAGGTGAAGAATGTGGCATATATAATGCACGATTAGCACGAACCAGCTGGTCCACGTGCCTAGCCAGCGCGCCTTGTCAGAGGCTCGAAAACTCCCGCCGATACGCGAAAAATATGTTGAGCAAAGAGGTGGCACGGAATCCTAGCCAGCACGCGTATCGACAGGGGCTTGTCGATAAAACGAAAAACTGCTGAGCGAAGAGGCACGGAATCCTGGCCAGCGAGCCTCGTCAGAGGCTCGAAAACTCCCGCCGATACGCGGAGAACACGTTGAGCGAAGAGGTGGCACGGAATTCTACTAATCCTGGCCAGCGGGCCTCGATAGAGGCTCGAAAACTCTCGTCGATACGCGGAGAACACGTTAAGCGAAGAGGTGGCACGGAATCCTACTAATCCTAGCCAGCGCGCCTCGATAGAGGCTCGAAAACTCTCGCCGATACGCGGAGAACACGTTGAGCAAAGAGGTGGCACGGAATCCTACTAATTCTAGCCAGCGCGCCTCGATAGAGGCTCTGTCGGTAAGGCGGAAAGCTGTTGAGCGAAGAGGCACGGAATCTCCGACTCTCATACGGCACGTAGGCCCCGCCTCTAGGCGCAAAAGCAGCATATATGCGTAGGTGGGGGTAAGGCGGCTCCGCCTCCATGGCGCGCTGGCGGTCTCCGCCCCGAATACCTCTGTCACCTACTTAGTTAACGTGCGCTCCTGATACTTTATTCGATTTAAACGAAGTTTCTGACGCTGCGAAAACCGGCTTTTGCTTTATCTCTCATCTCTATATATGTACTTTTAACAATATTTATGATCCTTTGTGCATCTCCACAGATGCGTAATTAAATTTAAACTATAGTTTAAATAA